GGGGGAGGGGGGCTGATGGCAGTATGTTTGTCCTAAATTTATGCCTGTTCCTTATTAAAGAGAATTAGTTTAATAGGCAGCAAAAGTATAAAACATGTAGTAGAAGAAATAATATATATAAAATATGAATGACAAGAATACTTGATACAAAAATTTCAGCTTCTTCCCAGGAAATCCCAGGATATTTTACAAATGACATTGCAATCACTTCATCCACCTTGAAGAAGGGACTTTCTCCAGTGTGAAAGGCAGTAGGCTCTTTGTATCTCAAAATCACCCCAGTGCCTGTTAGGCCAAGAGGTGAAAAATACTTACCTTAAAGGCTGGGGAAGACCGGAATAAGAAAGAAGATAATTTTTATGGATATAGAATATGGAATGAACAGAACTGGCTGGAGTTGATACCTCCACTTCTATAAGAAGTGCCAGGAGATCACTGATGACTGGGAGGGGCAGGACCTCTGCTAATCCTCATCTGAAAGGCGTCAAGCAGAGTACATTTTCCCAGGGTACCATTCTGACATTTGGGGTCAAGGCTTCCTCCAAGTGAAAAAAAGTCACTTGCATAAATGCAACTTCAGTAGCACCTTGACAGTCTGTGGAAGTCATCCAAATGAATGCCAGTTTAATGTGGTGAAGTCACCTTGTTAGAAAGGAATGGTGCAGGGCTGCTCCAGGATGTCTTTGTGTGTGGGGGGGGGGGGTGCACGACTCATAGCTGAGTGCTGGTGAGAAGTATGTGGGGACACTCCCATCACAGAAGGGGCAGCATGGCCTAAGAACATGGCTTCTGAGACAAACAGAGTCTGGCTTTATTCTCAACCTGTCATTTGGGAAGTTGAGTTACTTAGCTTTTCTGAGTCTTGGTTTCCTCATCTATGAAATGGGGATGATCCCACCTTCCTCATACAGTTTTTGCAAGGATTAAATGAGATAGGGCTATTTTAAATACTTGATGATTATTATGTGGGGTTTTTTTGTTTGTTTGTTTGGTTTGGTTTGATTTGGTTTTTTGCTTCACCTCTCTCTCCCATCCTATCCCCCATTAACAACTCATACTAAATTCTGGGTTTTTTTCCAGGACTTTCTTTTGAAAATTGTGTATGATCACTGACGATATTTTTTCCCCATGGATTTTGCACATCAGTGAGGAGAATGAAAGTGAATTCATTTCTCAGTTTCCTTCACACTAATGTTCAGTTATCCAGAGGGTGTCATATCACCAAATGTCAGTAAAAATAATAATATACAATGCATAATATATAGTATATAATGTATAATGTATGATTTCATCTATCTATCTCCTGGCTCTTTAATGATAGCAAATTTGTCAGCTTCATTTTTTTAACTGCACTTTCCAAATGTCCAAAATAATAGCTTTTACTCTTCTTCTGAAGAAATCTTCTCCTTTCCATGTGACTATGAAATTTTTAAAAGGACAGCACCCCCCTCCCAATCATACTGCTTTCTATGTGCTGTTCTACAGAATAAGAATTCCCAGGGGTTGCTTTTGAAACTTACATGTGCTGATGAATCTTATTAAACATGTTAGCCTTCTTCTAGAAAAATATCTTCATCTGTGGCGATATTCTCTGATAACATTTATAATATTAGAAGCACTTGTATAAAATTGACATTTGGAGAATTGGATCTTTATTATTCCCCATCCCTCTGTTAGATGAGGCTGTTATAGGACCACATTAAAGGGATCGTACATGGCTTCATGGGTCACTACAAGGCCTTAGGTTTTTCTCTGTAGGAAATGGGAAGTCATTGGTGAGTTCTGAGCACATGAGAGACCGATCTGACTTAGTTGTAGTGATAGCACTTTCGTTGCCATATCTGAATAGACCACAGTAGAGCAAAGGCAGAAGAGTGAGGAGAGCAGTTGAGAAAGAGATGGTGGTGATTTGGGCCAGAGGGTAGCAGGAGAGATGGTGACATGACCAGATTCTGGTCACATTTTGAAAGTTGAACCAAAACCTGTCCCAATAGGCTGGATGTGTAGTGTGAGACGAAGAAAGCAGTCAAGGATGACTGTAAGTCATTTAGCCTGAGCAAATGGATAGATGGAGTTGCCACCAGCAGAGAGAGGCAAGGGTGTCGGAACAGCTGGTTTAGGGTGGTAGATGAGGGCTCTAGTTAGAGACATGTTAAGTTTGAGCTGTTTATTAGACACCTATGTGGAGAAGGCAAACAGGCAATTAGATATGCAATTCTGGACTTCAGAACAGAGGTCTGATCTGGTGTTAGAAGACCCTTCATATGTGCCCCTGAGAGCCTTAGAGCAATATCACGTTCCTAGTAAGAAAGTAAGCAGTGGTCATCATTAATTCAATTCCTTCTCCTCCTTTGACCATGTCATTCGAATTGTCCAATATAACTGTAATGGTCAACTCCTGCCTACCATATGTATTTGTCCTCTGAGCTAACAATTACAGAAATGTACAAAGTAATCCTTTCTTACTTTTTGGGTTTATCACTGCCTTGTCCCCATGCTACCATTTGATGGGAAATTCCCCATTTTTTCAAGTGCATTTTGTGGGGAGGGAAATCAAGTTCAAAATAAAGATTAAAACAACACTTCATGTGCTGTTGCCAGTATAATTCTGGACAAAGTCCTTTGAGCACAAAATGTTTGGCAGTAGGAGAAGTCATATAGAATGATGGTTAAGATAGCTGATTCTAGCATTGAAATGAACCCATATTCTAACACATCACCTTGAATAAGTTTCCAATCTCTCACTTCTCCAATTCTCCATCTGTAAAATTGAGATCAGTGGAAGTACGGAGAATATTAAATGGGGTAATAGATAATAAAGTGCTTAGCAGAATGCCAGACACAAGTAAGTTCTTATAATTTTCAGCTCTTACGATGCCAAGCAACTTTACATTTTGTTTTCAGTTGTAACTAAGACTAAAAACTCTCCTATGGCTTTTCATTGAACATAGACTTTTCATTGGATACCTATTTCAAAATATCACTTAAAATTTACAAAACTTAGTCTCAAAGCATTAGGCCAAAGGAAAGAGAAGGACATTAGGAGCTGAAATAGCAGTGAGATCCTATTTGATCCAATGAAGGGGTCATATGCACTTTCATCCCCTACTTGTCTCCTCACCCACCCCCAGCACCTTGCCCGTATTGGTAATTAACAAACTGAAGGAAGTGACTCAAGAGAAACACACTATACTTCCCTCTTATGTTATTTTAATTGTGTATATTTTGTTTTTAAGCCTGGTTCTTTGGGGGAAAACACGATGTGTCTACTATAGAAAAACACATATTCTTTTAGGCAAGTAATTTTGGAAGCATAAGACAGTCTCCAGGGTAAGAAGATGGAAAAGGAGTGGTATTAGCAGAAGATAGCACAGAACGAATGCACATTTTATAGTGTAAAAGAAAGATATGTTAGCCTCCCTGCCTAAAACAACACTGTGCACTATCAGTTAGGCTGAATTGTTGAATGGAATAAAACGGAACCAGCTACAATATGACTGCTTAGAGTGAAAGTCAATAGTCACCTCCTAGGTAGCATCCCAAGACAGCAGAAACCTCTCGCACTCATGACACACAGAGGCTTAATTGGTCCTCCTATGGTTTGGAAGAAAGGCCCTGAAAATACTTCTGACCTCTTCGAAGCAGATTTATAGACATATAACGGTACTTTAATCCTTGTATCCTGGAATTGCCAAGGTAATAGAATATCAGTGGATAAAAGCCTAGTAAGACAATGATCATCTAACATTCCAACTCTGTGCCAGGCCAGTTTGGAATTTCAATCACTTCCATTCTCTGCACCCTGACCTCCCTTCACAAATGTCTAAAGGGTGTGTTTTTCATTCACATTATTTCCGTATTGTCTCCTGATTGATTGGTTGATTTCTCTCCCTCCTTCTTTCCTTCCTTCTTTCTTTTTTCTCTGTGTGTTTGAATCTCTACCATGGTACTTTTTTTTAAGATTTTATTTATTTATTTGACAGAGATCACAAGTAGGCAGAGAGAGAGGGAGGAAGTAGGCTCCCCGCTGAGCAGAGAGCCTGATGTGGGGCTCGATCCCAGGACCCTGAGATCATGACCTGAGCCGAAGGCAGAGGCTTAACCCATTGAGCCACCCAGGTGCACCTCTACCAGGGTATTTTGGGGGTTAGCTTCATGTACCCCTTTTTACCTGTTAAATTTACTTGTTAAAAATTCTTTAAATTTTTACTTGTTATATTTCTTGAGATCATCTACTCTTGCTCTGAACTCTGCTCCCCTATTTGTAGCTGGAGCTTCTCTTCTACCCCCTCTTCTTCCCTATTCATTTACATTGTCTTACATCATAAAACAGTGCTATTCTTACTATGATGTCTAAAGAAATGAGAAGACATCCCTAAAAATTATCATGAAATAATAAATTCTATTTAAAAACTAGGCACACCAGAACACAAAGAGCTGTACGAGTATTGCCCTCTTTTCGAAAAGTTGCAGTGATATTCACAAATGACAATAAAGCCCAAAACGACACTGGAATTCATTTTGGAACCGCTTTATGGTCTTCACAAGAAAATCACCCTATTACTTTACCTTAGCTTTATATTTTATCCAGATTAGCAATACTCACGTAATTCACCAGACTGATGCCAAATTCCCTTTGTCAACTTCCAGAGTTCATAGCTATCCCACTTCTATGAAGGATTTTCAAAAGAATATGGAACATATCCTGAAGACAATTCTGAAGGAGGATTAAAAATTGTTATTGAGTAATGGCAGCATCATTAAAATGTCTATAGCTCCTAAGTACTTTAGAAGGAAAAACTCCCTTTTAGATAAGGGTAAATTCCTTTATTTCTGGTAACAAATTGCATTTATTATTTTATAGCTAAACCGTAAGAGCCAACTCAAAAGTTCTGTTACTTCCATTATACTTCAGTACACAGTACACTTAGAACTTTTAATCTGTATATGTGGAAGATGTGCTCTTGGCAATAACAGTGTGTCTGTCTTATTGTCTCTAGGACTATACTTGATAAAACGGAACTACTAGAGTTTGCTCAACTTGGCTGTTACTTGGAATATGATCTCTTTGGGACCGAACTCCTTCATTACCAATTCAACCCGGATATCGACATGCCCGACGATAATAAAAGAATTAGAAGGTAAATACGATGAAATCTCTGATAGCATTCTCTTTTCCCAACCCATTTTGACTCATAGCTGGGTGGGTATTAGCAAAGATTCAGGAAACAGTATGCAGGCAGAACCAGAGACTTGCAGAAAAAAAGTATCAATGCTATTGCAGGGAGAAAATCTTTATATATTATTTCAAGAAGGAAATGAGTCATCCTAAGTAGGCAAAAGCTTAGCGGAGCCTTAGAAGTTCAGTGCAGATGGGCAGCTGACAAGAAACAGATAATATTTAACCCCGGCCACGGCAATAAGAGAACAAAGATGTTTTCCTCTTTTTATCCCTAACGAAGCAAGCAGTTTCTTTCCCATGTTGCCGACGCTGAAGTCCTAACCTCCTACAATGAATTTCTGAAACGCTTTATCAAAAATACTCACTATGGAGATGATTGAAACTTAAATGCTGTAAGTAGAATGTCTAAAGACCAACCATCATAAGGAGATCTAACCCCTTCCAAACTGTCTAAGCGAATAATCATATGAGTCATTCTCTGCAACCAAGTGGAAAATTTTTGGAGTTAAGGGCGGATGGCTACCTGGTTTGTCTTGGTTACATGGTAATGTGAACCTTGAATGCACCAAATTAGGGAATCTGAGAGGAGACACAGATTCGGGATTAACAAGGATGACTGGTTTGGGAGTATCTAAGAGTTGCTCTCCAGTGGAACAAATGGTTAAGGGTGGGAAGCTCAGGGCAGGGATCTGAACTGAGACTAAATGTGGGCGTCTTTGGTCTATATGTCATGGTTGGTGGCGTAGGAACGAATGAGATCACTCAGAGAAGAGAATGAGGACAGAACCCTGGGGAACACTGATATTTAAGGGATGGACTCAGGAACAGTCAATCAAGGACAGATTGAAAAGTTTTAATATCAGGGAAATGTGTTGTGGTGAGAGTCAGGAGAATACTTAGAGCAGAAGGGCTTGGACACTGGACAGGTGGTAGGTATCAAGTGCGGTCAAGGCTGAAAAGTGTCCGTTGGATTTCATAGGCTGGAGACTGTCTGGCAGTTAGTAAGTGCAGTCTCCACAGTCAAGGCTTGAGGAAGGAGGAGGGGTAAGGGAGAGGAGAGAAAATGTGGAGGGGATTTTCAAGAAGCTTGGTAGTAAAGGGAAGCAGGGGTGTAGGGCCAAAGCGAGAAGCCATGGCAGGATCCTGAGGTTTTGTAGAGTTGAGCATGGTTATGTGCCTGAGAGCAAAAGCAGAGAGACAAAGATGGAGAGCGAGACCAGTCCCGGGAAGCAGTACTCATTCTACAGGGCTGCTATGGAATTTACATGAAATAAAGTATGCAGAGTTTTTACGTGAGTGTCTGGGGCAGAATATGAAAATAGTCAATCGATGCTAACTTAAAACAATCTGGAGAGAGGAGCTACAGAGCGAGGCTTCTAAGGAGACAAACAGATGGAATCTGGGAAGCAAAGGGAAAGTTGGTTGAAAGGGATAAGGCGAGCAATGGGGTGAATGCAGAGAGATGTCGTGGTGAGAACAGGAAACTGAGGACATATGGTCACACATGTTTGGTAGTGTCCCTGTGAAGTAGACATGGTTATCTTCTGAGAAGGAAGGGAAAGATTCAGGGCAGGACCTCGTGGAAGAGGAGGAAGCCTGGGAAGGGATGCTCAGGGAATGAGAGAGACACGGATGGGACGTGTTGTGTGTGAGACCCACGTGAGACTCAAGATCTTTACAAACTGCAGAGTGGCTCCAATGCACATGATGTGGTGATTGTTTCCACCCAAAATGTTGCGTATTTTGGCAGTAAGACCAAGGAAGCTTTGAGGAGAGGCAGAAAATGTGAACAGTTAGAGAGACTGACGGTTGGGATTCTGTCTTCAAAAACACGGCTGAGAGCCCGGGGAACAAGGGTGGGGTTGAGTGAGGGTCATGGGGTCCAAGATGGAGGAAAGAGAGTGTAGAGAGAACTGGGACGATACAGGAATCATATAGCAGAGGCGAATAACCAGAAGCCTGAGTGAAGTGGGGGAATGTACACAGAAGGAGGTGAGAGGAAATATAGAGGGATGTAACTTGTGGTCAGAGTGGGAAACCCAAGATCGAGATTTCAGAGAGGAAGTAGTCTTCCATGATGACAAGAACCAGAATGTGGTTATGGGTGTAGAAACCAATTTGGAATACAAGTAGAGAGAACTGACTTACAGAAGGGACATCCAGAAACTGAGGTTCAAGCAGCAATAGTGGGATATACACACCTGGGGGCTGAGGGAAAGATCTCGAGCCGGTGGCCACAGTTGGGACAGCCCTCAGCTCTTACCCTGGGCAGTCAACCTTTACATCTGTGTGCCTTCTTCTGTCCCTGTGTGTGGTCACTCCTTCTTGATGACCTCAGTAACAGTAAAAGATGCTTCAAGTTTAATATCGACAGGGAGAGCTGGCTGATCCGTCCCACCCTAGCTATGTCAATATGAAGACATACTGGCCATACGTAAGCAAACTGACCTGACCAGTGAAGCTAGGTCTTTAAATTTTTTTTTTAAACCACTGAAATCAGTTCTTTGATACACAGATTTATTGATACACAGATTTGTTGATTATTATTGTTGATACACAGATTTATTTTTGTGTGTTCATCTTGTGTTATGATTTTTACTTGCCCAGAAGCACCATTCAGTAGGCGCAAACGTGTGTCCTTAGGGCCCCCGAGCCATACTCAGAGGCGAATATTCCCTGGAATTTAAAGTGGGCAGCATGGTAGGGGTTTTTCATCTTCCATGATCTCAAAACCATGATATCCTGAGGAGGAAACAATTCATCTTAGAAACAGTAAGTTTGCTTTGAGGACCTGATTCCTTTCCCTAAGCTCCTTTGTGGCAGTGAGCTGCGTCTTTTGTATCTTTAGGAGGAAGCCTACACTATTCATGAGGCTCTTGGACCTGGAATAAGGGGGCAGGGATCTGTAGAGTGGGTCTACAAAGGAGATATGGGGCGGGGAGGACAACCAACACCTCGTCTCATATCCCTTCTTAGCAGCTTTTGGCTATCAATTCAAGAACAAGAATTTCATTCTGGTCAGCTTTCCTTGAACCAAATATAAACATTCTGGACATATGGAAATACATCAAAATTTATATGTAGTATACGTGTGTTTATGTATATCCACATACATATACTTAATTGTCCTTAAATGAAAATCATGCATTAGGTGACTTGACTCGAGTACAGCTTACGGTAATTACTGAATGACCTTTTGTGCTCTGGTACCCCTCGCCCCCCCCCACTTTGGGCACCTGATTTTCATCATCCATTGGCAGTCCTTTTCCGAGCCTTAGTCATCTTACAGCTCTGAACTGCAAGAACAGAGAAGCACGCTTCTGCCTACCTCTGGTTTTCAGCACCAGAAATTCTGTGTCTAACACCTGTTTTCAATCTTATGCTCCATTTCTCAAATCTTATTATATCTCTGCCTTTTCACACTTTGTAGTCTCTCTCTAATATTTGTTTGCAAAACACTAACTCATTTGTATTTCTATAATTACTGTCATATTTGTCTTCTCATCTACAGTGGTTCCTTCCTTCTGGCGGCATCGCTGGAACTACTGTTCTTCCATACAATGGCACAGCACGAGAGAGAAGCTTTTATTCTAAGAGTGGCCAAGTTAGGGCTCCTGGGTGGCTCAGTTGGTTTAGCATCTGTCTTCGGGCAAGGTCATGATCACAGAGTCCTGAGACGGAGTCCCACATCAGGCTCCCTGTTCAGCAGGGAGGCTGCTTCTCCGTCTCCCTCTGCCCCTCCCTTCCGCTCGTGCTCTCTCGCTTTCTCTCAAATAAATAAAATCTTTAAGGGAAAAAAAAAAAAACCAAACTCTTAAAAAAAAAAAGAGTGGCCAAGTTATATCTTGATAGTCAGGAGATAACTATATTTGAAGTGCCATGGCAATATTCTCATGAGGGAACTGGTCTCCCCATTCTTGACTTAATGAGTTCTATGGGTTCTCACTTTTCAACGAGTATCTTATCCATTATACTCTTTCCTTACTATCTCACAATCTGATAACTTTGGGTGTCAGGGTATGGCACGAGTCCACGTACAGGAATTTGTTTCTCCATACGAAATGCCTCTGTAGTAACATGACACCATTTTTTTTCTCAGACATGGAAAAGAGACAAAAACTTCAGGAAATGTTCAGAAAATATAAGGGGGGAAGTGTGCCCTAAAATTTCCGGGAACATAACTCCTTTTCAGTAGGGGATCAAGGTTTGTTACGCTAAGTTTCAGCAATGCGTATGCATTCTGTTTAATCTTCCTCTTTTCTCATAAATGATCATGTAACTCGGAGCATTCCCTTAAAGAGAGCCTGTTCCAAAAGTAACGTCAGACAAGAGCTTTTGGACGCTATACAAATTTTTAAAGAGGTAAATATCTATGGCAGCACAAACAGAAGTCCAAGATCTTGCAGGACACGCCTGGGTACATGTGACACGAATACAGATTTCTAGACAAAAAGGCTCGGGGTGGCTATTCTCTGGCGCTTGCCTTCCTTTGACCTACAAACACAAGATCTCATCTTCAATTATAATTTTATTTTAAAACATCTGTTCTCAGAGGGCAAGGCTTTGTGTTTGAGGTTTCTGTGTGGTGGTCCACAATTTGCTTATTTTAGTTATTATTAAATATGACTCATGCACCGGAATGGCAAAAAAATGTCCTAGAAACAAAAAGGATACCTTTTAAATAATTAGTCTCTAGGAAGAAGGTACTGTCCAACCGTCTAGATTCGTTTGGGAATCCAGAGACTGACAAGCCCGTGTAGAGAATGCCAGAGAAGAACCACTGTCTCCAAGTTGCACCTCCTGCCATCAGCGACTCGTAGAAGTCACGACAAACAGTGCCCAGAGTCCAGACACACACAGATGGTAGCTGTCAGGAGGTGACTCACACTATAGATTACAGCATTTAACAAAGCAAAGAGGATTAGATGTTTAGACAGAAGTTGGAAAGCCATTCTCGAGGCAACTGGCTATAAATTTAAAGGAACATCTCAATATTTACAACAATCTTATTGTAATAGAAGGAAGACAGAATCAATTGTTGGTTGATTTAATCCAATGCTCTGAGACAAGTACTAAGCCAAAATTTCCATAGTTACTTCGAAGGGACCAATGCTCGAACTACAGAGGTACATTTCCTGGCCTTTTTAAAATGATCATCTAGTTGATAATAGGCCCTTCACCTTCAAAACAACAGATTTTACTCTCGGAATGTTTTAGTTGTACGAAGATTCCTTTTGTTTCCCTTTTTTAATCACAAATTGCCATTGATTGTATTTGCTAGAAGAATGGAGAGAGAGAGAGACAGAGAGACAGAGAGACAGTGAGCCAGAGAGAGAATGGAATCTGGAAAATGGGTCCACTATGAGAGGGATTTTAGAGCAGAGAGCTGGCTACAAATCCAGAACAAAGTTACTTTGTGAAATGCCACCTATTTCTTTCTGAATGACTGGTACATTCTATTAGAAACTGTGTTTAATGCAGTATTGCTGGCGTTGTCATAAATACCACAGGCTAGAAATTTCTCTGTGCGTGGAATAAGGACGAGGCTCCTACTAGGATGCAGTGCTATCTTTATCATCACCGTGGAGTGTTTAAGGAGGGCCTCCCACTACCCGTGCCATAGCGGAAGGCTGTATTTCTACAGCAAGCAGAATACGTTTATGAGTAAAACGTTTCAAGCGCCCTGATAATTTTAAATGTGAGACCAATGCCATTTAATGAGCTAACATTTTTCACAGAGTGTGTCTTCTGGTGGATGAGGGCTATGAAGACCGAATTCTGATGGCGCATGACATACATACGAAGCATCAGCTAATGAAATATGGAGGTCACGGCTATTCTCATATACTCACCAACATTGTTCCTAAAATGTTGCTTAGAGGTATCACTGAGAATGCAATTGATAAGATACTGATAGAAAACCCTAAGCAATGGCTAACTTTCAAATAGGGTGGTTGTTTATGAGTTCACATCTTGAGTATCAGGCTTGCGGAGAACATTTTTCAGTGATTTCGAGCGCATTGTGAGATATTAATCAGAGCCCTGTAGGACTAATAGTGGGCCCTTTCCTTTTTATGGGAATTAGAAGAGTTTTGCCTTCTCAGAAACTGCGGTTACCCCTGTACCTTAAGAAGTTACTAACCTGATTCAGCCCTATTGTTTTGCCTCCACAAAATAAATACAGAAATACCTATTTCCAAACAGTGATTTACAGTCTGTGCCCCCTTAGTGGAGTTTTTTGTTTTGTTTTGTTTTCTTAATCTATCAGCTGCACTACTTGAGAAAATTTAAAGTGTTTCTAGTTAAATTACCCCCTTCTGGAGCAATCTAATGTTACTTGTAATATTAATGATCCTACTAATTATCCTGCTGTTCTTTAATTAATGCTTAATGAATAATACGGCACTTTAAAATAGCTTCAGCAGCAAAGGAAGTTACATTTTGAGGCTTTTTTTCCCCCTGGAGGATATTGTAATACAATTACCAATTCACAATGGTAAAAAAGATTGTGTAAGCTTAATGATATGCTGTCTACCTTATCTATATTTACTGATAATAAATCAGTTTTGTTGCCTGTGGCTTCCTGGTATCCATTTTTGCTGTAAAACTTTGTTGTTTTAAAACAACCTGTATAAGGGAGCATGAACACCTAATAGTGAATTATAAAAATTCAATCATAATAATAAAAATATATTACATAATATAGTTTAATGAATCATTATATCTATAACAAAGGCCACAGTTTAATTAATAATATATAATGCAAAAAAAGAGAAATGTTTGCCTTATATGTATTCCCTTTAATCCCTTTACCTTTTATTTGTTTTTCCTTGGGCCTAAACAGAGAAAATAATGCTTAGTTATCTGAAGGAAAGGTCAGATCTATTAGAAATGACATTCTGATTCTAGAGCCTGCTCTTCAGAAGGTACCGAGCCCTGATGTTTGTGTAAATAAAGCCTTTTTAAAACCCATAGAAGATGTGCACTGCTGCTTACAAATTAATCTTTTGGTTGATTCCTCGTTATACTATTTGTTAACTGCCCCACCCCCCAAAACAAATCTCCAAACCCTTGCTACCAATTTCTCTTTGATAAATACATATTGTTAAACAGATATAAATCCATTGCAACTCCTTCATGACTTATCCAACGTATCAGAAAGGCCCAAGAGAATTAGTCACTACTCTTGATGAATGGGCTAAGTGTTTTAATCATAAAAATCATGACAGTTACTCAGACCAAGGCATTTAAACCAAGCCAACAGCACCTTCAGATGGGAACACCACACGTAACTCTTTTGCAAAGTTGAGGTTTTCTAAATACAAGATATTTCTGTGGATCAAAGATGATCGAGTTTTTTCTGTGTATTAGAACAGAAAGTACCCACGAGGAACAAGCCATGAGAACAAACTAATTCCTTTAAATGAAAAAATGCAAATGTCCTTCACCAGTAAAACAAGCAGATTTTTAAATCCCTGTTTTTCAAATCGACTTGCTCAAAGAGTCTTCAAAGGCAGCTGAGAGGGGAGCAGATTTTTCATCGTAATAGTGGAAGTTGTCTGATAGTTAGGACCTATCAACATGCATTTTTAATCTTTTTCTTAGATTAAAGAGATGGCTTTTGGCAATGTATTTTAGCCAGAGAGAAATGATTTACACTACTCTCAACATCTACTTTACCGTCAGCTTTAATCCACCTGAGAAAAAAGGGAAAAAATGGATAATTCAAATGCATGTGATTCATAAACATTGCAAAAGAGAGCCACTTTGTTTCTGCAGTCCTAATATTAACAGTCTGCCACAGAATCCAGTGGAAATATTGATTGGCACATGGTAATAAAGAAGCCATAGGCATAATTTACAGACATGTGATGTATAGGGCATTTTAACCGACTGAAATTTAATTTTCTGGGTAACTCTTAAGAGAGAAGCCACTTAAATTATTTTGCTCTTCCATATGCCTTTGTAATCCAAAATATATTTTGATCGAAAATAAGTCGAATAATTTATGAGTGTTTGTGTGTATATATACACATACCTTTTTTTAATTAAATTTTTGAGGCTATACAGCCACTGTGCCTCTGGTCTGAAGCCATGTATATATTATATTTGATCTAACATATGTGTGTGTGTGTGTACACACAAATACATGTATATGTAGCAGGTATTTGTATAAAATATATACACTTTGTTGTCTTATTGGTTGTATGTGAAATTGCTCATTTTGAAATAACCTCAGGCCGTGACTTGTAGTAACTATTTGAAGGCCTTACTTAGTGTCCCCTTGGTGACCCATGCAGTAGCTCAAATTAAACCACTGTGCATTGGGTGATGAATAATCTTTTGTTCCAAAGAAGGCAAAAGCCTCAGTCTGATTTAACACCAAAGAATAAATTTCTCTGACTTTCTAAGTAAATCTAAACGCATCCTATGGACAAAATGGACACACAGGGGATTTTCTAAATACCATACATAATTACACATTTTCACACTTAGAGGGTAATCCTATGATACAATTTCAATCTCTATTTTTAAAGACTATCACTGGGAAAGAGAGAAAAGAAAATTCATAAGAAAAAAGAAAATGTGAAAATTATCATAGGCTTGGGAATTCCCTCAAATCCAGAAAATTCCAGGTTAAGGCTTGAAGTTGAATCATTCCCAGGACTAGCTCTAAAGTTAACAAAAGTACAAGGCAAACAATTTCTTTGGGGACAAGCAGCATTGTTTCAATCAGACCTTCTCCTGCAGGGTAATATAATTCTCCCCACACTATGAATGGACTCCAGGTATCATAATAAGCAGGTAAACTCACAAGAACCAAAGCTGACATATGGATAAAAGCAGCAAGATCACAGTACACCAAAGTTCAGATATATTGGAGAAATAATTCAGTGTCTTAGATTTTTCTATAAAAATTTGTGATCTATATAGGACTTCATTCACATGGACACTAACGATAAGGAGGAGTATTTGCTTTGGCGGTAGTGGATAACACATCTGCTTATCTTGCTTTTAATTTTTTTTTTTTTTTTTTTTTTTTTTACATAATGTTTCTGCGTATACAGATGTGAGTCAGGTAGCATTTGAATTCCCCACATATACACAACTGAGGTGCCCCGCAACCGGCATCCCCTGGGATCCTTGATTCACAGACGTTAGCCATACGAATCCAGCGTTCAAACTCAGAATAATAAGCTTAGTTTCTGCATGATCAGTCAGCGTAAATAATAAATCCAGAAAATGTGCTGTATTTGTTGTTATTTCCTCCGTGGGCTTTGCCGCCATCTAATTTGATGTAGACTTCGTCTCCTGGCTCCAAATGAAGAACCACACTGTTACTGGCATAGTCGTAATTCTGATCAGCGTCTTGGGCAATGGCGCTGGCTCGCACCTGTGTGAAGCAAAGGAGAATTAGAATCTGGAGGAGAGAGCTGTCGGGTTTTCCTCTTTGCCATTCACTCAGCATCGGAAGCCAACCTGCGCCACAGCACAGAATTCAGCCCGGGAGAGTCCACCAGGGCCTTGGAGCTCTGGGAGGGTATCTTTGTAACAGCTTCAACTGTGTCGCTGGAAGGGAGGAGCAGAAAGATGAAAAGGTCCTATGCAATGGTCATTCCAGCAGGCTTTTTTCTTACTGTGTGCTGTAAACCACATGCACATCACTCTATCCTCTTCGTAAATCAGCGCTTTTTCTCATTTCTTGAATCTCTAGGCCCAGTCACTTCTTGGAATGGAAAGAAGGGTAATTTTTTTTTGCATTTTAATTTAAGCCAATTAGCAATATTCTAAGCAGCTGTTTACAAGGACAGAGGTTCAATCTGAACTTCAGCGGGTCCTCACGCTTATTAGAAAATGGAGAGCTACAGCAGTGGAGACGTCAGAGAAATAATACGACTCCAACTCTACTATATAGGGAGAAAAAAAAAAAGGAAGTCTTTTGATTTGGGGGTTTTAAAATTTAATTCAGGTAAAGTTTTTTTTTTTTTTTTTTTTTTTTTTTTTTTTTTTTTTTTTGGCCAGAAACCTCATTTAAACATCACCCAAGTTTGCAGAGTTCATTTTTCTAGATGTGCCTTTTTATTACTAACCTGTGATGTGTGTGCTTCCATATTTAATTTCAACATATCTAAAAGTTATAGAAAGAACTAAGCTTTGAGGTCTCTCAAATTTCTAAACATTTTTAGTGATCTGATTGAACACCCTTTTTCATTTGGGTGATTCTAAAAATGTGTGGTTTGCTTTGAGAATGGAAGTTGCCTATAATCCACTCGTGTTGAGTCTGTGATCTCATTAGTGGGTTGATAGACATTTGCAAACGGTCAAATTGCCTATCATTTCAAGTAATATGGACATTCTGTCACTTCCTCAACTCAAATTAGGCTTTATATTCATTTAGCTATATTTTGGTTCTGCCTCGGAAAAAAATTTTCAGTAGGCAGACTTGTAATTTGATTTATTTCAGTAAAACATCTTCCATTCTGTGGCTTGTTTCTATTCCACTATAATGGTATTTCCCTGAATAACACAGCAAGTGATTTAGTGGTTTTGTAAACCTGCATTATGTAATAATGCATGACTTGGGGTATAATATGCTGAATTTTATCACTTGGTAAAATGAGGGAACTGAGACATAAGTCAAGAATTTCCATGCATTTCTTTCAAAACTTAAATGATAGGTTTTCAAATTAAATTTTCATGTGGTATGTTCTCACATTAATGCTAAAATGTTAAAAAAGGAGAAGGCTCTTTGACACTGCTGAACTTGTAAAGTAATTTGAGTAGTATTTAAAAAATTTCTTTCTGGATATCGTATAGCAAAAGGAGAAAGGGGCTTAAAGGATTTATAATTGCTTAACACTGTGCTAACTGACACTAACTAATACAGTGAAAGCAACATACCATGCAATTAGGCTCTGAAACATTGACTCAAATGTATACACCAATTCAATGAGGTGATCTGTTTGGACTGTTAATTAATAACACAATTTAATGTCATAATATTTCCTAGAAATTAATCATAAGTTTGTAGGAATTGAGTGCTTTGATTCACTAATTTCATCTAGTCATTAACTCCCTGGGAAAAAAATCTACAAGGAGGATAGCGCTGTTATGACCTCATCTTTTTTTTTTTTTTTTAAACACGTGGACTTTTAATGGGTGAGAAAAATTAAAATACAAATTAGTAATTAGCCATGTCAGTAATATATTAATTAATTAGCCATCCATAAATATACTTTTCAGCTATTATTAATAGGCAGACACATTTTATTTAGTGCTTTAGATGTTTAATATATGCTCTATGGGTATTGTGCTGTAACACTGCTTTCTTTATAAAGGCATCTGGGAACCAGTACTCATTAAAATCCCTTGATTTAGAGGCAATAGTCTTAAATATATATATATATATATATATATATATATATATATATATATATGATGCAGTTTTTATTCTACAGGGTATAAAGAGAAAACCCTGTAAATGTGACCATTTTTATTCTGTAGGTTTGACCACAAACTCTGCAAATGCATTAGGGGGATTCCACAGACTAGAAGGTTACCCTTACGGTTTTTCACTTCCTTTGTTGTGTGATTGTTTTTTAATGAAAGTGATTCTCTTAAAATTTTACCCTATACTGTACCACAAGACTCTCTCAATTAAATAACTGCCACACTCCGATGTGCTTTGCATGATTTTAGCCTGCCGGCTCACCTGATCCTACTACTCTAAAGGTATCATGGAACTTGAAATTTCAAGCTCTAGTAATCAGCTCGGTGACTTCCAACAATTCTCCCTTTAAGCCATTGAACTACTGAGGAAGGTAATGCATCTGCCTTGGACGCTATTTTCAGGTTCCTAAATGTACACCGATTTCAGCATTTTCTCTGGGAATGATGCATCCTTTCCTTAGCCCGATATCCCCCATTTCTGCCTGAATGTACTCTAATATCTTTTCAAATTTTAAGTTAACTATTTAGATCCTGCTTGATCTGTAGTGCGTGTGTCACTGCTTTTAAAAAGACAATATTAATTTGACATTTCATTAATCTTGCTAATGAATGAATGATCAACCCACAAACTATCGTTTCCAACATCTCATGGTCATTGGTGCTGTAATTAATTAATAGTTTCTTAAAATGAAACCGGGTCTTTAATTATTTTATAGTTCTAATCTTGAGCCAGTTTTAGCTTTTAGTATAGTGGTATCACAGTGACTGTGCTCAAAGAGCAATTTTTGAATTCAGGTTTTCTGCCAAAGGTATACGAACACATTAAAATTGTATTTCCTGTCTCTCTGTAAAGCCACCAGAGTCCAACTTTTAGCTTTCATATGCACTGTCATGGGCTCACAACAAATGATATGATTAAATTTGGGCTGATGGTTTCATGGGGAATATGAGAACTGTGATCCTTTTACTGGCCTGTTTGTGAGAACCTGGGAGTTTGCGTGGCTGTAGCATTATCTTATTAGGGAGGGTTTATCATTAGAGACAATATTTATGGTAACATTTGCTAATTTAATTAATTGCTACTGATGCTCTCATAATTTCATTTTCATTGTACTTCTGTGGAATCATAAACAAAAGGTTAAGTGGTGCATCAGGTTAATTTACTGGCCTTTGATGTTTCCATCTGTGATCCTGCATTCAACACAAAGCATAAATAAAATGGTTCTCATATGGTTACGGTCTAGAGGCATTCCTCTATCCTAGAGTGTACTGCATTTTTAGTTTAATTTTTGTGCTTCTCAAATCCACTTAATCCATAGAACATTACAATGACATGGATCTCTGAGTTTCTGTTTTATGAAAACAAATTAGGTCTGCCCAGGGGGAAACTGCCATTCTAAGAAGTGATCAGACAAGAACATAACTGAAGATCACTGATAAACTATTTATTTAATATTAATAAAATAAACTTTATAAAATATTTCTCATTTGCAACTGTCTACAGGTCAGCCTTTATAAAATTGTTCTATTCTAGGGATAAAATTCCTTAACAATAATAGTTTAATAACCATTTTCCAAAATAGTCCATGCTTAAGTTGAAAATATATTGTTTGCTGCTATGTATATTTTTCAGAATTACTTGTTGCACACCTTTTGAAGAAGTAACAGCTTACTAATGCCAGTGGAGAGCTTTATACATGATAAGGTCAGCTGGTTGCCTTATTTTTTTTTCCTGATCCTCAGAGAATGTGCAAGCTAGGAGGATACAAAGAAGCATTCTACTCTCCAAACAATGGAATAATTTTAAAAACAAAAAGCACCTGAACAGGTATATAAAATGGTTTTCCTGGAATCAGTTCAATATAGTTGGGCTCAGCAGTTGAGACAGGAACCTTTAAACTAATTTAAATGTGTCATTCCCTGATTTTTCATGCAATTGCAATTTCCAGATCTTTAAAGATGTGAGTGTTTTTATTCAGTGGCTGATAAAACTAGAATATTATTCCATCTTAATTAATACCACTAAAAACAATCCTTCAGCCTGACAGTATTTTCTAGACCTAACCTTTGAGTCAGAAGAGAGCCAGTTTGTAAATAAATGGGTGCCTCATTGCTGTCTGCTTAAGGGGCTCTTCATAAACCATGTCATAAAGGTGATCGAATAGCTCTATTTTGATACAGTGAGTCATGCCCTTTTTAACCATACACCTATAACTATCTCACTCCTCTGTAAATATTTATTTATCTTAATATTATTTTTGTGCATAATAACTACAATAAACAACCCTGTCAGTGCCTCCTGGTGGCCATTTTTTCTTTTCTTTTCTTTTTCTTTTTTTTTTTTTTTTTTTGCTTCTACTTGTCCTGTGGGGTCCTTGAGCTATTTATTTCTAAATTCCTTTAGAAAAGAGGGGTGGGAGGAGAAAGGAGGGACAGGATTTTTTTTGTCCTTTCTTTCTTATACATTTATACTATTTGTCTTTCACTTTTCAAAAACAACAACAACAACAAAAACAACACTTCTGATCCTGAATTGGGTCTTTGGAAGAAATCTTGCCTTAATGCTGCTTGATAGAAACCTGGGTTGTAACTGAAAAGGTCTGAAATTCAAGGCGCGGGTTACCTGAAGCCCAGTAGCCCTTGTTAAATCTAAATTGGCCATTCCCTGTACCACCCAAGAGGCAAAATGAGAGCCAGAGAACTAGCCCAGACTGCAGGCTTCCGGTTGCAAGGCCTGGCCCAGAGCGCTCCTGCTGATTCAGCGCGTGCCTCAGGTCCGAGGACACTTCCGGGTAGTTACAAATCCAGTTTTCCTCTTCTAAGAGATCGGGCACACCTTGGTTTTGCAGTGACCGCGAGTTTCTCAAGCAAACGATAAAGTGGCCCCCACATAAAACAGACCCGTGGCCCTGATGGCGGAGCCATCCAGCCCAGGAGAGCAAATCCTGGGGCTCAGGGCTAATCTGAGGCTAGGGCACAGTCAAGGCCAAGGCCACTGCCTTGTGAGAAGGCAGGGCTGGAAAGACCCTCACGCAGGCGGCCCGGGGACTCCCTGGCAGTGAGGCCCATCGCCCCAGCGCCGGCTCTGCCTCTCGCCCTCTTTGCCACCTGCCTGTGCGGCCTCCTACTTCAGCCCCTGGAGTCTGGGTTCTGTGTTTGGGTTCGTGTTTGCTGAGTACACCCATGAGTCCCAACTTTTCTCTCTTGTTATCAGGGCTCTTTACTTCTCCCCCTTCTTCTCCTTGGGCTGAAATCTAAACCGGAGTCTGTGCCTTGAATTTGACGGTATGCTCGTTTCCCCAGTCTGGGACGTCGCAGGGGCCTTGCGACCGCGAGTCCCCCGGTCCCTCTTCGGCCCTCGACGCGTCACATTTGGACTCCCTCTTTCGGATCCCTTCTTTCTCCCGCGGGCCCCTTTCTCCCCCGAGTTTGTCACCCTGGCACGCCCATTTCGGGGCTCCCCCAGCCCTCCTCTTCCAGGCAAAGCCTGAGAGCGTCCCTGCCCTGCTGAGGATCCCACAGGTCGCTTCCTGCCCGGGACTGCCTGGTGCACAAGCTGTCCAAGGGACGGAGCTCCCGGCTTCCCTACCCTCGAGGGTCGAGCTCGCACTCGCGCTCTGAGTGCAGATCCCAGCTTGGCAACCGCGCTCTCCAGGCCTCCGGGCGCCCGTGCGGGCTTACGACCCCTGCCTCGCCAGCGAATAGCGGCGACCCCTCCGCTCGGCTCCCAGGAGCCGGGCTGCCGCGCCCTTCCACCGCGGCCTCCCACCCCCATTTCCGGGGTCTCCTCCCTCTTGCCGGTACCTTCCCGCGCTCCCTCCCCGCCCACCCTGCTGCCTGCTGGCACTCACCTGGTTGTTTTTGCAGAGATCAGCCCACATGCTGGTGCCGTCCCCTCCGCGCATCAGGACGTGGTAGGTGAAGAAGTAGATGCCCGGGATAGAGCAGGTGAACTTGCCCGTGGTGGGATCGTAGTGGTTACCGAGGTTGGTGACCACGTCGTCGAACTTGAGCACCTCGTAGCCTTCGTGCTGCCGCTTGAGGCCGGCGTAGAAGGCGATCTTGGGCACCGTGCTATAGGTGGCGGCACTGATGGCCCCGGCCGCATTCAGGCCGGGCGCCCCGGGCGGGCCCGGCAGGCCTTGGCGGCCGGGCTCGCCCTTCTCGCCCGGAGGGCCCACGGGACCCGGCGGCCCAGGCTCGCCGGGGGGCCCACGCGGGCCCGCCTTCCCCGGCCTGCCGGCCTCGCCTTTGGGGCCCTGGATGAAGGTGGGCAGGGACTGCATGAGGCCGCGGTCGGGCGTGGCGGCAGTGCTGGGCGCCTTCGTGCCCCCATAGGGGTCGCAGACCATGCGGCAGGTGCCCAGCATCTCGTAGTGCGCCGACGTGCCGGCCGAGCTCACCAGCACCGGGATGAGGATGACCAGCAGCAGCACCATCACCACCCCCAGCGCCCCGGCGGCGATCAGGCGCCTCCTGCTGCCCACCAGCCGGCTCAGCGCGGGGCGATCCTCTTGTCTGCTTTTGGACAAAATTTTGAAGGTTGGGCGGGGACCTCCTCAGAGCCGAAAACAACCCCCTGCGAACCCCAACTCCCCTGGGCGGGCGCGCGCCGGCCGCTCCCCGCCTGCTCCCGCTCCCGCTCCCCCCTGCCGAAGCTGCGGCTGGGGAGGGAGCTCAGACTCCAAGTGACTTGAGCTGAAGTCCCGGGCTGGGGGGTGGGGGCTGGGGGAGGGGTGCACAGGGCGCCCTCTCGCCTGCCGCGAGCCCCTTCGCACCTGTGGCTGCCGCGGGCGCCGGCGCGGCCACCCGAAGGGCAGAGCCTGCCGCCGCCTCTCGCGCTGGCCCGGGCAGCTCACACTTTTATGCAGCCGCCGCCTGCGATCGACTTTTCCGTTTTTGCCGACTGCGCCAGTTCGCACCAACTTTCCGTCTGAAGTTGCCTTTTTCTGCCTCCTTCTTTTCTTCTTTCCGTTTGCTCTGTTCGCCCTTCCACTGCCTTTCTCCCCCTCCTTTGCAACCACCACAACTCTAATAGACGCGCACCCCTAACGCCGGGCGCTGGCGGCGCGAGCTCGGGCCAGCCGCCCCCCGGGTGCGCGGAGCAGCGGCGGCGGGCACGGTCAGCTCGGCGAGGCTCCGGGCTGGAGCGGAGGAGCTAGTGAGCAGCGGCGAGCGCCTCACGGCCGGGAGCGGAGCGAGAGAGAGACTGAACGCAGAATTCTGCCTGGGTACCACCTGCCAGGAGAAGAGGAGGCTGACAAACGCGCGCCGGAGCAATTTATAGGCACCCAAGGCACAGAGGAAGGGGAGCCGCTTTGGCATCTCACTGCAGCATCTGCTCTGCTCATCCCACTCAGAGAGAGTTTGGCATTACTCTGACAATGTGGGAATTTTTTTTTCCAGCCTCTCTCTTTTTTTTTTTTTCCTCTCTGCACATGGATGAACAGTGAGATCGTGAATACTCCCTTGCCGAGCCCAGGTGATGGCAGCGCTCTCGCTGGACACACGGGGGGAGAGGAAGACAGATGTGCAATAGCCTTGGGCCCTCGAAGGTCACACTTAAGCCCTCTAGTTCCCATGCGGCCAGCGGCGCCAGTTGAAGGGCGGAGGTGAAGGTTGAAAAGAGGGTGGCTCGGTTGACAATATTTCTCTACTGGCTCACCCACAATCAACCCATGCTTCAGGTGTTTTTTGAAATGCCACTTTTAACATAAGAAGGGCCCTTTAGAATTTTCCAGATGGTTTTTTTTTTTTTTTAACCTTATGGTTTTCCTCTCCAGCCTCCTAAGATGAAGTAAGATGTTACCCAGAGAACATTTAAGGCACATTGAAAAGCCAAAGGATATTTTGAACGATTGTGAGTGAACAGGCCCACCACTTAATGGCGAGGGGGTGGGGGTTTCTTTTAACCAATGCTGTGGATGGTGAGTATATACTTTGTCCTCCACTTACAGGATTACAGTTCTAGCTACCTTTCAGGAGACACTGCCATTGGACCTGAAGTTGCATTTACTTGCACTACATGAATGAAAAATAATCACTTGTTAAAATGTCTTTAAAAGTCTTAAGACAAACCAAGCAGCCTTTGCAAGAATACTGGGCAACATCTTTCGCTAAGGTATGGAAAGTGTCCTCTAGGCTTCACAGCACATTTCCTGGATGTACACTGAGGCATGGGGCAAAAAGAAAAAAAAAACGTGAGAAAGAAGAGCCCCATTTGCAATGAGAGAGCGGGAGAAGGGAAAGCCTGGCTTTGTAATAATAATGTAAAACCCCCAGAGAAGATATCAGGCAAGTTATGGCACTAACAAATACATAAGACACACAAGAACAGCTTTAAATAAACAAGTGGAATTGATTTGTAAATCATACTTTTGCATTCAGGAGCAATGGATGTCAATCAAATGCGGATGACATTTGCTTCTCAATACTGGGATGATGGCTGGGAAGACGGTGACTTATTACATCAGGGCTAGAATCTGAAATGAGAAGCAAGAACAAATAGGGCGAAGGCAAGAGACAGTAACGTCCCAGGGTGACAATCCTCGGCCTGGGATCCTGCCTGAGCATTTCCTTGTCTGTTCCTTCTGCCTAACTTCCACCGCATGTCAATTTAGTTCTTTCTTTCCTTCTTCTATGTTTCAAACCGAAATAAGGTCAAATGAGCAGAGAGAAGAAAACCACATTGATTCTTTTAAGAGAAATGTCAGCAGCTCCTTTAGGTCTTTCCGGGGAGAATCAAGAGTGAGCCCCCGGCCTTTGGGGCTCAGCCTGGCCCAGGTCTCCGTATTTTCTCTCCCTCTGGCTGCAGCTGGATAAGAGTCCTTCCCACTCCTCAAATCTTTATCTTTTAGGGTAGTGGTTTCAGAAATGTGTGTCTGTGTCTTGGGCATAAGACTTTGGTTCACAGGAGGTACTTATTTTCATATGTTTGAGCATCAGACACATAGAAAGTTCTCCCCCGGCCACAATACCTATTTTCCTAACACACCATGTGGGTTGCTTCTAAAAAAGTCACCTTTCTTTTGGGGGACAAGACGGTAAAGTGTGGGAATGGCCATGAAGGTTAATGTATTAATCAAACTCTTTTAGAATGCACCAAGTTATCAAAATTCATAAGACCTCCTCATTGCCAAAGAGAGTCCAGTGGGGGATGGACGGGGACTTTTTAAAAGGTAGAGTTAAATAAGTAAATTCTCATTGAAAAGCTCAAGATACACTTCCACTGAAGGCTGCTCATCTTACAGAGGAAGCCGGTGAGGATATCATGAAACGGTAGAGATGGAATGAATGCTAGAAAGCTCGCCTGTACTTGCTCACTTTTGCAGACGGTAAGTGTGAGATACAGGCGTGAGCAGAAGGAAAGGCCTCCCAGTGCGTGTGCTGTTGTACTCTCCTCTACGCCACAATGTCAGACCTCTGGGACCAGGCCTGCAATGGAGGCGATTCTCTTTCCACCATCTCTAATGCCAAAGCCCAGCTTGGTTTTACAAGGGAGGGCACCAACATTTTAAAAGTCTGCTGAGATTTGGAAAAGTGCTCTGTGGGCATTGTGCACAACGCAGGCAACATTTCCCAGGTCACACGGCTGACCCATTCTTCCAGTGAGGGGACAAACCTGGTGGCGCATGGACAGCTGGCTTTTGAGTGAAGTCAATATACATTACCAATCTCCTCCCTCTTCTCTAGAGGTGTCCCACCATGTGCTTTGGGAGAAACTTTTTTTTTTCTTTTTGGTTCAGGGATGACTGGGTAGTAGATGAACTAACGGCTGGTGGCTGCCACTTTCCACTGCTTGAATTTCTCAGAAGGTTCTCTGGAAAGTTACTCACGCTTCAGCCCTTATTCTGACAGTTTGAATAAGCCATCTGATATGGCATATTACTCATCATCTCTATATGTATATAATAATAGAAAATGTGTCAATTAAAAAAAATATTTGATTCTCTTCAGTCCTCATCAGAGAAGCAAGTTTTCTCTCAAAGTTGATATTAATCTTGGAAGCAAGCCCTGCGATCTAATTTCCCCCATCACGTCTCAAGAAAACATAAGGCTCTGTGTTCCCATTTCCTTCAGCACCTGGGCCTCTGGGACCATTCAGATCATAAAGTCCAACACAGAAACCCAAGATCTGGGTTGGGTGATGATCCACTGATTTTCGTCTTCCCGCATCATTTCTGTCTCTTTCGGAGAACCGAGCAGATCCGAAGCCACACGACTCCCACACAGACGTGCACCGCCATCCATTAATCTTTATCGAGCGCCCACTGGCAGCACAGCCCTACACTGGGCTCTTAAGAGGCAAACAAATCTTTAGTCATGAGAATGGTTTCCAAATCCAGCAGTACTGAACCAAAAATAGCATTTATAAGAGGAAAATAAGATGAGTTAACAAACCCAAGGACTATCTACAGAAATAGAGATAAAAAGAGTAAAAAAAAAAAAAAAAAAAAAAAAAACCCTCAGGCTGGGATCAGCTATTTACCTTTGATTCCTCGATCTCCTAATTATATTTCAGAACATACACCCCTATGATGAAGAGTTCTAGGTTTCTAGCCAGAAAGGGTCTGTTTGGAGCAATGTAGGGAAGTAGTATATCCTTACAGCTTTGGAATCAGATGGGTCTTAATTTGGATCCTGGTTTCCTCATTGAGTTGCTATAAAAGTCACTAAATCTCCCCGAGGCTTCATTTCTTTTTCTCTAAAATGGGAAGAACATTAACACCTAACTCATGCAGTTGTTGTGAAGCCCGAGCAAGTTAATGCTTATAATGATAATGCTAGCCAACTCACACCCAGAGCGCAATAAATGTCCATTTCCATGTTCATATGTTGTAGGACTTCTGAACAGTGCATGGGCATAGGAGCTGGATGGTAGGACACATGCTCAGTACAGGAAGCTAAAGCGTCAGACTTAAGACAAATGACATCAAATGGATACTAAATGTCATAGACTTAGACAAAATTAGAACACCCAAGTTCTCCAGGAGAGCTGCCTATGTGTACGATTGTATAATATAAAACAAAGTAAGACAAAACTCAACACAAGGATCATTTCACCCTTCTCCAAAGTAAGAAAAAGAAAGTTTTATACCAAGATAATTTGAATTCACTGCAGTTTGACAGACCAAGATTTTGGATTTACAACCTGGGAGGAAGCATTAAAACCTGTTTTCTTCTGCTCTGAAAAGTTCCCCAAGTCAACAAGTTGCAAGTGTATTTAAAAATCAATGAGAGGGGCGCCTGGGTGGCTCAGTGGGTTAAAGCCTCTGCCTTCAGCTCAGGTCATGATCCCGGAGTCCTGGGATCGAGCCCCACGTCGGGCTATCTGCTCAGCAGGGAGCCTGCTTCCCTTCCTCTCTCTCTGCCTGCCTCTCTGCCTACTTGTGATCTCTCTCTCCGTCAAATAAAAAAAAAAAAATCTTTAAAAATCAAT